GTGTGGGGCAGCTGCTGGGTTGGTGTGCAGGAATTAAAAGATAGAGGTCTGGCTGGGGTGTGGTCCAGGGACGCGGCTGGGAGCCGCCACTGCAAGAATCACCTATTTTCTCCACCTGAGAGGCTGCCCTGCGCCAGAGGCACGCGCCTCAACTTGGCCCAGGGGAGCATGCATCTCAGACAGCCGATGGACCCAGAGGAACTGCCCTCATGCGCACTGATGCGCTTCCCTGCTGAGCGATACGCGTATGCTCGCACTCTCCGTCGCAGCGCTGCGGTGCACAAATCACGACGTGACACCACACCAAATCCAGCGCTCGTCCCACCCCCAGATCCTGAAGATTGCGGCGGATATCGCGACCGGCCTGGCCTACCTGCACCCCTCAGTGGTGCACCGCGACCTCAAGGTGGGGAGATGCAATGGGAGAGGACAGGATAGGATTGTCACAGCCTGAAAGGGCCCCCCTCGGCAAAGGCAGATGCTTCACAGTGATTGGGCGTCCTGGCTGGCACTCACGCTCCTCAACAGGGGGAGCCAACAAGCAACGCACGGTTGCTCAAGGGGTGCAGGCGTTTCTGAGCCGGCAGCATATCCACGCATGCATCCTTAGACGCCTCTGCCATGATACGAAGCCCTTGAACCCACATCTTTTGCTGGACACCATCAGCCCCAGAATGTGCTGCTGGACGGCCAGGGCTGCGCCAAGATTGCAGACTTCGGGATCAGCCGGCAAGCGATGGAGACCCGCCCCCGCCCTCCTTGCATTGCTGTAAATTGCGTGGGAGAGGGCAACGTTGGAGTTACCCTGCCTGTGCTGCCTGAGCGAGCGCCCATCTGCCTGTTCTTGCCAACCCCACTGGCCGCAAGCCTTCCCACTCTGGAGCCCCGCGACATTTGTGCGTGCTCGGCAGGCACGCCACCTCAACGGCGCCCTCCCAGCCCTGACACACCCCACGCCCACCCAACCTGCAGGTTCAAGGACCCCCACCGCTCATACCTGTCGGTGACTCACGCCGGCGGCACCCCAAACTACATGGCGCCGGAGCTATTCAACGGCAGCAGGTGCGAGGGGCTTGCAATACCTTGACCGCTCGCTCGCAACACTGCGCTTGCGCCCTGCCATGCATACATATCACCAAATGGATTGCCTAGTTCGCACTAATACCAATTGACGGCGCTGCTTCAAAGCTGCTGGCGGCTGCATGTGATGATATGCATCAAACCTGCACACTGCACCACTGAACGCGGCGATCGGCGCCCCCGCTCGCGGTGATTACGCGTACTCGGACGTGCACTGGCCGTGTCAATCCCCCAGGGTGGACGAGGCCGCTGACGTGTACAGCCTGGGCTGCATCCTGTACGAGTGCCTGGCCCGCCGCCAGCCCTTTGCGCACCTGGCGGGAGGCCCCGAGGGCAACAAGTCCTACAACGTGCTCTTCAAGGTGAGCCTTGGGTCGGGCTCGGCCTTCCAAGGCGTGGGGGTTGGGAGGTTGGGGATGGGGGGTGGAGGGTAGACGGGCTCACGTTTGCAGGCGCGGGCGGGTGTGTAAGGGCTGAGTCAGGGGCTGGGAGCATTGCAGATGGCGCCGCGTGAGGTAGGTAGCTACATCGAGGAAGTCGGGGTTCTCTGCATGAACGCCGTTGCGGGCGTGCAGCATGAATTTGTCCAAAAGAGCGAGTGCTCCCTTGCCTGGGTAGCAGTCTGAGGCAGCATGCTCTGCGCGGACGCCTGGGCAGCAAGCGACTGGAGGCCGGCTGGCGGAAGCCTGCCTGCTGGACCCCTCATCAGACACCACTGGTTGACGCCCAAGCCTTGATCTTGCTCTTACAGACAATCTCATCGTCCTCCCCTAGATCATCGTCGCGGTGGCCATTGCGGGGGAGCGCCCAGCCCTGCCCGACGACGCGCCGCCCCGCATGGCCGACCTCATCCGCCGCTGCTGGCGCGAGGTGGGGCGCCGCGCGGGCACATGCTTGAACGTTCGCTCCGCGCCTGACTAACCAGATAGATGCCGGCACTGATACAGGCCTGGGAAATTCAGATGCACCAGTCAGCTCGCGCCACATCCGTTGAAAGCCCTGGCTGCCACCCCCGCGTCTGGCCGTCCATCTTCCTGTTAGGACCCCCGGCAGCGGCCGACTGTAATGGAGGTGGTTCAAAATCTGGAGTCGCAGATGCAGGTGATCGCTACTGCGCCATGGCAGCGGCAAGCCAGCTCATAAGCACGGCCTGACGTATTGCCAACCTCTCCGGCCAACCTCGGGGCTGACGTTTGCATGTGGATGGGACGTGGCTGCCTCTGACTGAACAGCCACCGATCGAGCTATTTCGCTCTGCTTGCTGACAGTATATTGGTGTTTGTGTGCGCATCCCCCAGGACGAAGTGGAGGCCTGAGCAGAATGGATTGGACTGCTGTGCCGCTTGTCCCAGCTCAGCAAGGGCGGCAGCAGCACCAGCAGCTCCATCTTCAACATGGTCGGCGCAGGTGCAATGCCCCGTTCCATCCTGCAATAGCAACGGCCCGATAGCCGCCGGCCTTGCACCTGGCCGGTGCCACGTGGCTGGGGTTTCGGACGCTGCGGCCACTTGGGCACATTCGAGCAGGGGGCGTCATGCCAGGGGCAGCAGCGCCGCGGCCAGCAGGGCCGGCTCGCACCCGCAAAGCAGCAACAGCGACCCGGCCCTGGCGGCACCGTGCAGCGCCGCCAACCCGGGCTGCACTAGTGCCTGCGCAGTCGGTGGGGCCAGAGATGCCGACGCCGACGCCCGTTCCGGCTTTGGCATCTCGACCCCAGGCTGGCGTGGTGGCCCGGGCCTGGTTAGCGGCTGCTTCTTAGGGGTCATGGCAGTGCCACGGGTGGTGGCGGCAAACGCAGGGGGATGGGGCAGCGGCGAGGGGGCAGCGACGAGGGGGCAGCGACAGCGCAAGGGGGCGGGGCAGCGGAGCGCATCAAGATGGTGGCAAGCAACGGCAGCGAACTCCCGGGAGCCTCGAGGTGGCAAGCTACGAGCCTGCCCTCCCCCCCTGCTCCCCACTCCACCTACCCCTGCTGCTTGGGATGGGCTCGCCGCGGCCCATGCCAGGCGGCCTGTTTGCCATCCCTTTGTGTTTCGGAATCTTCTCGGTGGTCTCGATTTTGCCCCAGGACCCTTTCTCCAAGCAGCGCCGGCAGGAAGCCCCTGGTGGGGGCTAGCGGCCAGCTTAAGTGACTGGAAGCTCTGAAGGCGGAAGAGCAGGGGATTGGCAGCAGCACCGGCAGCAGCTAGCGGTGTGCACTGGATCTTGCTGGCGGCGGCGGGGCGCAACGATGCCCGACCAGATGCCGGAGAGCCTGCCGGCGCCGCCGTAACAAAAGCGCAACCGGGCGCACGTCGCGAGTGGTGGCGTCTGGCGTTACGTTGCCCCTAGTGTACCCCTTTGCGCTGGGGAGGGTCCATTTTGCGCACCCTAGAATGAGTCGTGGCTGTTTTCCCGCTGCAGCAGCCCTGGGTGCCGGCGGAGGGGGCAGATGACGCAATATCAGAGGTTGTGCCGTTGCTGCGAGCCTGCACGCACCGGGGTTGAGCCCGCAAACACACATGCATTGCCGCGCTATCTTGCAGAGGTAAGGCCGTTGCTGTTGCGGCGTGCGCGGGCCAGTCGCGTCGTCGTACACTGCCTGCTGCACACCAAGGACCTGCGCGCTGCTACACCAAGGATCTGCTTGCACGCTTGCTGTTTGAAGTGCAGCTGGAGCGGTTTGGTTGGCTGCTGTAGACACACACGCTCGGTGCCTCACCACTTGACCTGGTCAGACGTGTATGTGTCGCACTTTGCGCTCCTTGCAGTTGCTGCAGCGCATTTCGCGTCACCCAATCCTGCCCCCCTCCCCCATCGGCGGGCAGCGAGGGTTTGTGCGCCTTTGACTCTGCAAGCTGACGGCATGCGGGTAGTTGCATTGCTCATGTGAGCTGATTCCAGCTGAATTTTCAAATCCTGCTGTTTGAGAAAAGAAATGGGATGGATTTTGAATAGGATGTGCTGCGGTGTCGGCCGCAAAACGTGCGGCAAGCCTGGCTGCGACGCGCTGTTTGCAGCCATGAGCCACCTCCCGTGATTGTGTGGAATGCGCACACCAGACACTACCCCCGCCGTGAGCGACCTCCCGTGATCGCGTGATATGTGCACACCCGACACACTACCCCGCTGTCGCCAACAACTGCTCAACCGCCAAACCTGGCTCCGCAACCAACCGCGCCGCCGAGTGGGGCGAGCTGTGGGCCCAGAGTCGCCGCTGAGGAGCAAGAACAAGCTGAGCTCCTCCTAGCAAACTGCCAATAATTGCGCACTGCATCACACCCCCTGCAAGCACCGTTTGCGCCCTGCTGTCAGGGCCCCCTTCCCCCTGCCACTCGCCCGCCTGCACCCGGTAATAATTAGCCAGCAGAAAATTGGCAAATGGTTTTATCCCATATCATGCACAAGGCTGGTCATCAATTGGGGGCAGCACAATCCCAGGTTGGTCAGGACCAAAGGCCTAGCCTGGGGGCACTTTGCTCTCATGACATTTATGATGTATATGGCCCCACATGCACTCCAGCACTTCTTGGCCCTCACCCTGACAAAAGCCTCACCAACCCTAGGCCTGTCAGCCTGAAGGGCCTGTCAGCCTAGCATCTGGGCGTCTCATTACTGCCAAGACAGACGCCGCGTGACGTCACATTGCGGCCAGGCTTCAGGTGTGTGCGGCCCCCTTTCACCGCCGCCCCCCCCGCCCTGTGCGGCAGCGCGCTTAGACGGGGCTGAGGCACCGGGCGGCGCGGTTCAAGGCGCTGGAGATGCGGGCGCAAGGGAGGCGGTTCTGCAGCCAGCTGCGGCGCAAGAAGTGGCAGCTGCTGCCATCGCCCCGGGGCCCGCTTCGGGCGACTGTGGGGAAGCAGGCGCGGCGCGACGCGAGCGTGAATGCCGGCCAGCGCGGGGCCAGGGAAGGGGTCGTGTTGCGGGGGCGGATGCAGTCGGTGCAGAGGTGCAGCAGCAGGCGGCGGCAGCCCCGCCGGTCGCAGCACAGCCGTCCACATCCTTCGGCAGCGGCAGCGGCAGGGGCTACGGCTGGCGGTGCCGCCGCGGCAAGCGGCCGCGACGAGGCAGCAGGCGAACCGCCAGGGGGCGGCGGTCGACGGGGCCGCGGCAGGGGCAGGGGCAGGGCCGAGGGCGGCGACGGCGCGGCTATTGACGCAACCGTGGCGGGATGGCACAGCACGCTCACCTCGACTTTTCTGCTCGCAATTTTTTTTTGCACGGGGGAAGAAGAGTGTTGCACTTGATGAGCGTTGCAAGTCGTCTTAGACCCTGTACCCCAACCGTTGTGATATCTGCACGGTGCTGCTGCTGTCTACCGCGCATTCAGGGACGCCTCCCGCCATCTGTTAGTCATGTAATTCACCGCGCATGTTACAGATGCAGTACACGAAGGTCCAAACCGAAGTCACTGCTGTGTCCGTGCATGCAATTTCCCTGGATTTATGCCCTTCTCTTGTGGTGCATTTTTGTCTTTGCACTGTGGCTGCTGCGCCCTCATTACAACTGTGGTCGGGCGTGCGTAAGCCGTTCAGCGTTTTCAGCATCGCCGCCGCCGCTGATGTCAGCAAGCCTGGGACCCTGTTGAACGCTCACAGCAATCTTACAGAGTAGAAGCTTGTTTGAGACCGCTGAGCTGAAGCCCACGCCGAGCCTACCGGGGCACAGTTGAGTGACCTTCGTACCAAGGCTGGCCGCCCGGCGGCCCGTGGAGTGTCCCAGCTGTCTCGACACGCGTAATTGAGACTATTAGTACGGTTGGCTTCTGAGCCTGAAGGGCTCGCCATTCCTTAACGGGTGTCCAAGGATAACGACCTTCGCTTGTCTTCGTCGCGCTGCCCGTTTCCGCAACACACCCATCCGGACCCACGCTGTGCGCTAGCCAGGCGCTCGATTCATCGTGCTGGCTGCAAACCTCCAGACGACCAGCCCTGCGGCAGTTGAGGTGCAGCCTCTTGAGGCGTTGCGCCCTCGCAGCACGATCGCCGACAGCGGGTTGGCACGCCGCGGTGCGGCCGCATGGTACTGGCTAGCGTGCCACTGCAGATGCGCAGCCGCCCAGGCCCTGTCAGCCGCAGCGCGTGAAACTATGCGCCGCAGCAGCTGCGCTGGGGCTGCGGCAGCCAAGAGCAGTCGCTGGTCGCCGCAGCCCCGGCGCCGCACCCCTGTCAGCAGCGCTGCTTGGCTCGTGGAGAGCCCTTCATTCACAAAACAGTCCCCCAGCAGCGCACAAGCTCCTAGCGCGACGCGCAGTGCACCGCCGCCGCGCGCGGGTCGGCGCGGCACCGCGCGTCCCCCGCCGCGGCTGCTGCTGCTCGCGTTGCTGGCGCTGCTGTGCGCGGCGCCGCCCGTGGCGCGCGCCCAGATCTGCAGCACCACCATCCAGTACGGCGCCAGCCTGGGCGACACGACGCGGCCCGTCTCGAACGTGGATCTGCCGATTTTTGTGGGGACATTCTCGATCCTCTCCCAGGACCCTCGGGTGGGCTGGCGCCTGGGGTGTGTGCAGTCTCTCCCACCGTCGCTTGCCCCGTCGGCAATTGGATGAGCGCTGCGTTGCACGCCGCATGTCGTGCGCCAGAACTCCCTGCCTGCCGTGCGCTCAAGCAAGCCTGCGAAGGGGGTCTGCTCTGATTCGAATCCATCCGAGCGGCGGCAGGGCAGCAGTCAGCTCGCCGCCTGCACCCACCATGCTGCTCAACCGTGCGTTCGTGTGTTCTCGCCTTGGCCCGGCAGGTGAATGTCAGCAGCTGGGTGCTGGGGTGGCAGTTCCAGGCGGGGGAGCAGATCAGGCTGCAGAGGGACATCTTCGGAGACCCTGGTGGGCCGCCGATTCGAGCATGCTACCGCCGCCACCTGCTGGCTGATGGGGCAAGCCTGGTGATCGTACGTTTGGAGGCAACTCGGGCCAGCTGCCCTCTCCCAACCCTCGTGAATGAAGCGTTGCCCCTGTGCTAGCATTCCAGACCCCAAGACCCCCGTGCGCCAGCCACCCTGTGCGTATTCCAGGCGTGTATGCCCACGACGCACGACTTCTTCTTCCCGGCCTTCCAACCGCCCATCACGCCGCCATGCATCCTTCCAGGGATCTTTGACGTATTCCTCAGCACGGGAAACCGGCCGGCTGACGCGCCCGCGGCGGGCGCGTCGGCGGCCATGCACCGCCAGCAGCGCGCCGCCGTCTTCAGTGAGCCGCGGCGGGCGACTGCGGGTGCTGCTCTGCGCAACTGTGCTGTCACAAGCTAGTTTTCACCCGGGCTCGGCGCGCCTGCATGGACTGGCGTGGCAGCTCAGGCATCTCCTGCTGACAGGCTCTCAGCGGCGCTTCGGCCCGGGCCTCAGCTCTCTTTCCTACTGCGTTCCCTCTGGTGTTGCTGACACCCATCGATGCCGCCGCTGCAGGTCTGTATAGCGCCCTTGCCTTCTGCCTGTCTCACCACCCCTCACTCCGTCCACTGAAATGCAGGCACCACCCACCTGGTTGCCGGCCCGGATGACGTGAAGTTCAACTTTGTCGGCCGCCAAGGCCCCAAGAACGCCAGTGCCGCGGCGCCGCTGAGGGTGGCGCCGCCCGACGCGCTGTTCCTCAACAACCAGTTCTGCTGGGTGCGCGCGTGCGTGCACGCAGGGCCGCACCGACCGTTTAGCGTAGAGATCCGCCACGTTCACCCAGGCGGATAATCGGCTGCCCCCTTCATTTGAATATCATTGGCGCTTCTGCTTCTTGCACGCGGACGAGCTGGCGGCCTCCCAAGGCGCTACCTCATGCATTTCAGAGGCTGCGGAGATGAAGGGCTCTCAAATCCCTGCACCTGGCTGACTCATGTTGTTGTGTGCAATCCCGCCCGTTCCTGCAGCCCCTTGGTGCCACGGGCAGCGGCGATGCGGGCCGGCAGCAGCAGGCGCCCGCGCAGATGGCTGTCCCGGCCCGTGCAGACTACCCGCACCAACTCAAGGTGGGTGAGGCGTCCAACCCCTCCCCATCTTCACAGTAGACCCCATTGACCCCGTTCAGCAACTATAGCATGTCTAATTAGCACCTTCCTAATTGCACGCGTGCGACCGCTGAATTTGCTGCAGCTTGCGGGTCCGCTGCAGCTTTCGGCACCAGCTGCGCCTGCCTCGCTCCACTGAACGCTTGGCAAAGGCCGGTTGCCCCTGGCCCCGCTGCTTCTTTGAACTTGCACAGGTGGAATTCTTGCCGATTGAGCTGGAGGCACGTGCGGAGGACCAGGGTGCGGCCCTCTTCGCAGCCAACTACAACCAGTTCTACTTCAAGTGAGCTCGACTGGCTGCATTGCAGGATTGAGCAGTGCAAGATTTGGGGAGCTTTGTGACTCTGCGACTCCTCCTTGACTTGTACATTTCAAGCTCACACCTTCTGTGGCCTTGCAAGCCCGGCCTTCTCGCTCACGTCCATCCGCGGTGCTCCGGTTACTGCAGGGTGACGCTGAATGACACGTCCAAGGGTGCTGTACCCTTGGACCAGATCGTCATATCGTACTGGTTCAACGGGCCTGAGGACATGCAGGACCAGGACGCCTCGGGGAACGTGTCGGCAGAGCTGGCGGCGGCGCAGTTCCGCCTGGCCTGCAGCGACGCGTCGCCGGCCGTGGGTGCGTGGCTGACAGCGTTGTGCCAGCGGGTGGCTCTGCTGTTCTGTCAAATTTGATAATATAGCACAGCTTTGGTTGCTGGATTCACCAGGCACTATGACACAGCTGCCGCGCCAGCTGACAATTTCCATGTGCACCCACGCTCGCTCGACCCCTCCTCCGGCCTCACGCAGTCCCTCGCACTCTGACATCCCCCACAACTTACACCTCTCTCCGGCGCTCGACTGTTCTCCGCCACCAAACGCAGGCTGTGACAGCCTCATGTGGAACGTCACCCCCGGCCTGCCCGGCGTCTTCGGCGCCCGCTTCCGCCTTAACGTCTGGGCCGCCCCCGCCGCTGGCACCCTCGTCGCGCCCGGCGGCGGCAACGCCAGCGCGGCGCGGCTGACGGAGTTTGAGGCGATCGTGAGCCTGGAGCCGCGGCGCTTCTTCGCCAACATGAACTCGTCTAATGACTACAGCTGGCTCGAGACGCCGCGCCTGCCCGGAGCGCCGCCCGCGGGCAACGCCAGCGCCGCAGGCGGCGCCGCGGGGCGTGGCGCCAACGGGACGGACGCCGCCATCGTGCGCCGCGCGCTGCAGGCAAATCCCCGCATGCCGGCGTTCCTTTCAGGCGTGCCAGCTTGGGGGAGCCCCCCCAAGGCCGCCCCCGCGCCGCCCGGCGCGGCCGCGGCCGCAGCCGCGCAGCAGCAGCAGCACGGCGGGGGCGGCGGCGGCGGCGCGGGGGACGGGCAGCTGCCGCCGGGGTCGTACTGCCGACCGACGCCGGCTGGCGCGGGGCGGGTGTGCGGCGTATCGATGACATACTGCTGCTTTGGTACCGCGCGGTTGGCGGCGGCGGTCCCGCAGGACTGGCCTGAGCGGCTCTTTGTCGACGATGCCGCGGCGCTAAACTCCAGCGACCTGGATGCGATAAGCGTCCTGCTGCCCGCCGACCCAAACGCCGGCGCGGCCAGTGGCGGCGGCGGCGGCGCGGCGGCGCCGACGCCACCGGCGCCGCAGCAGGGCTCTGCGGCGGAGACCCCGGCGCCCGGCCCGAGCGCCGGCATCGCGGGGCTTGGGAACGGCGGCGGCAACAGCGGCGGCGGCAGCGGGGGCGGCTCAATGCCGACGTCCGCGGCAGTGGCCGTGGCGGTGGCGCTGCCTGTTGTGCTGCTGGCCGCCGCCTCTGGCGCGCTGTTCGCCCTCCGCCGGCGGCGGCGGCGGCGCGAGGGCCAGTATGAGAAGCAGCTGCTGCAGAAGGAGCCCAGCCGCCCTCAGAGCCACGGAGACGTAGAATGGGGCCCCCCCGGCGGCGTCGGCGGCGGCGGCAGCCACCATCCCTCCAACGGCGAATCCGACGTGCTCTCCCCGCTGCCGCCGCAACATCGCGCGCCGCCCGATTACGGGCCGCAGATCGCCCGCACCCTCAGCAACGGCGCCAGCTGGCTGGCAAACCTGCTCGGCGTCTCCCCGGCTGCCATAGCCGCCTCGCCGCCCGCACACCTTCCTCTGCTCCCGATCACGCACGCCGGCCCCCAGGCTGGTGCCGCGGCCGCGGCCGCGGGCGCCGGCGGCGCGGCGCAGGCGGGGGCTTCTTTGGCGACTGTGAGTCGGGGCGGGCGCGGGAAGGTGCTGAGCACGACTGAAGAGGCGGGGCTGGAAGCTTCCAGGGTGCCCCTCGCAAAATACCACACTCTTCCTGCATGGTTCGGCGGCTCCGGCAGCCGCGGCAGCAGCGGCAGCAGCGCCGGCTGGCGCCTCGGGACGGAGTCCGCCACCGCCGCCTGCGGCGGCGGGGCGGGGGCGGCGGGGGCGGAGGAAGGCGCGGTGGCAGGGACGTGCGTGCGTGACCGCGGGGGCGCAAGCCCGAGGGCAGTCGAGCTGTTTGCAAACAGGTGGGGCGCATGATGCAGCCGCTGTGTGTGTGTGTGTGTGTGTTTGTGTGTGTGCGTTGCCTGCCCGTACAGGCAGGCAGGTGGGGATTACTGACATGAATGGAGCGTTGCCGTCACTGCCGCCGTTGCTTCAGGGCTCCATTTCTGCGCGACCGCCCTGACAGCAGCGCTGCGTGCGGCAGGCACCTGCCTTGATTGGTCAAACACGGCTGCCGTCTTGCCGCGAACAATTGAAACGTTTGGCCTCCCAAAACCATCAACAGGCCGTGGAAGACCTGGGGAGGGTGCCTTCACGATGACGCCTTCCCCTCTGAGGCCCTCGACCCACTCCTCATCTGCCGCCTCGTCACCCGCCGCCGCACCGCCCTCGGCCTGCCGCCCCCAGACCCCGCGCGCCGCGCGGCCGCCGCCACTGAAGAAGCAGGCGCCGCGGGCGCTGCTCGGGGCGTGGTGCAAGGCGGGAGGGGCGTCATGAGGCGCGGCAGCAGCCGCGGCACCCCTTTTGCCACGCGGGCCGCGCAGGAGGGGGCTCTCAGCCGCAGCAGCACCAGCAGCGACGGCGGCTGCGACTCGCCAGGCTCGCCGGCTGCGCCCGAGGCAGGCGGCGCCGCACGGCAGCACCCGCGCACCGTGATTCAGCCCCACGCCAGCGGCCCGCCGCTGCTGCCGCTCTCCACGCCGCCGCCGGCCGCCGCCGCGCTCGCGGCCGCGCTCGCCGCCGACCCCCACACGCTGTCCGTCTGCCTGCTCGGCGCTTGCAAGGCGAGGGCGGCCGGCTTGGCTGGCACCAGCGGCGGCGGCAGCGGCAGTTTTGAGGGCAGCGGGCTGCTGCGTGATGGCCACCTGTGTATCCCAGGGCAGGCACCTGTGCCCCTGAATGTCGACTTTCAGGCGGAGATTGAGCCGCGGCTGGGGAGGGTGATGGGGAGGGGCGGCTACGGCGTTGTCTACGAGGCGATGTGGCGCGGGCAGAAGGTGACCAGCTGTTTGCTTTTGGCGGAGGGGTCGAGGGAGGGCTGGCTGGGCCATGATTTTTCCTGGGCTGGTGTCAGGGGTGTGATACGCGTTTCGATGTCCGAGGTAGGGTTTGCACCAGGCGTCACCTGCTGCCGGCTGGTAGGAGGAGGGCCGCGCGCGCGCAGACCCTCAGCCTCCCACTCCCCTCCTTGTACCTCAACCAACCAGTCTGAGGTGGAACCCTCAACTCCAACGGCCTGTGTCAGCATCCGGGGCGTCGATACCACATTGCTTCACACCCCTCTGAGAATCATACTTGTCGGGATTCTATTTCCTGCCGCCATCTCCCCCCTCCTCCACCCCCTCCCAGTTTGTTTGCACCCCAAGACCGCCCGCTCCACCCCTTTCGCGCCTCCTTGTGCATCACCTCGACTTCACCCCCACACACACCCCCCACCCCACCCCCAAAGGTGGCCGTCAAGCTGCTGTCTGTCGACAGTGACCAGCTGTACGAGGCCTTCATGAAGGAGGTCGCCCTCTGCGCCTGCTTCAGGCAAGAGCCTTGCACGTGCCTGCATGCTGGGGTTCAAGCCTATGTCAGACTCGCAGAGATAAATCGGACGCCCAATCACTAAACGAACCCTCAAATCGGCCCGCGAAAACTCTCCACGCACCCGACCCCTAAACCACATGAAACCGCCACATTCAAAACCGCCAGGAACTCCCCACACGTGGTGAAGCTGCTGGGCGCCTGCCTGGAGGACAAGGCGCGCCTGGCCCTCATCATGGAGCTTTGTGAGGGGGGCAACCTGGCGCAGCGCATCTACTCCCCCTCAAAGCGCCGCCTGGACCACCTGGAGGTGCGCGTGTGCGTGTGCGTGTACGTGTGTGCGTGCGTGCGTGCGTGCGTGCACAAGCGCGCTTGCGTGTGGGGTGGCGGTCCAGGTCTACGGCTGGGGGGTGCCAGTGGGAGGACCGGGTGTTCTGTCGACCTTTGGGGGTGTCGTGTGCAGGCGGCAGGCGCCTCAACTTGGCACAGGAAAGCGTGCGTGTGAGGCAGCCGACGGGCTCGGAGGGACTGTGCCGACGCACACCGACGCCTGCGCTGGCAACTGCTTGTTCATCGGTGCCGCTGTTGCCGTGCATGCACACTCTCGCCCGCGCACCACGGCGCTGCGACGCCCAACTCGCGACGCAACACGACACTTCCAAATGCGACAAACCCCAGATCCTGAAGATCGCGGCCGACATCACCACCGGCCTGGCCTACCTGCACCCCTCAGTGGTGCACCGCGACCTCAAGGTTTGTGTGTGTGTGGAGGAGCCGTCGGCAACGGCGGACGCTTTGCTGGTTGGGACCCCGACCCTGAACAGTGCCGATGCCCTCTGATGGGGCAATCGCAAAACAACGCGTGCTTGCTCAAGAGCTGAAGGCGTTTCTGAGCCTGCCGCGCGCACACTCGTCCTGGGACGCCTCCACTAATAAACAGAATTCCGATCCACTCACCCTTTGATCATATCCAACAGCCCCAGAACGTTCTGCTGGACCGCCAGGGCTGCGCCAAGATTGCAGACTTCGGTATCAGCAGGCACGCGGGCGGCGCGCCCCCCGCCCTCCTTGCACCGCTGTGGATTCTAACGGAAGGGGCAACCTTGCCATGCCTGATGGCACGCCCATTTGCCTTTCCTGCCGACTCAAGCGGCCGCACCATTGCGCATTCTGGAGCGTGTGTGTCGTTCTCAAGCGCGCCTGAGCCGCAGCCTACTGACGACGCCTCGTCGGTCTGCGCCCTCCCCTGCCCCCATCCCCCTGATGCCCTCTCTTCTTTGCAGGTTCAAGGACCCGCACCGCTCCTACCTTTCGGTGACTCACGCCGGCGGCACCCCAAACTACATGGCGCCGGAGCTCTTCAACGGCAGCAGGTGCGAGGGGCTTGCAGCACCTTCACCCCTGGCCAATGACACTGCGCTTGCACCCCGCCACACATGTTGGTCAAGGGCTTGCTAAGGCTGTGTCTGATTGTATGGACGACCTTGGCGCTACACGGCGGCTAGTTGCTACATGCCAAGATATACATGCGTTCGTCCAAATCGCCCGAGCAAACGCCTGCACTCAGCACCACTGGCCGACCCCGCTCCCAGCGATTGCACAACCTCGGACGCTCACTGGCCGTGTCAATCCCCCAGGGTGGACGAGGCCGCTGACGTGTACAGCCTGGGCTGCATCCTGTACGAGTGCCTGGCCCGCCGCCAGCCCTTTGCGCACCTGGCGGGCGGCCCCGAGGGCAACAAGTCCTACAACGTGCTCTTTAAGGTGAGCTGGCGTCACGCTGGCCTTCATCGGGGTCGTGATAAGGGTTGGCGTGCGCATGTGTGTGTGAAGGCGCGTACTGGTGTGTTGGAGGCAAAGTGTTTGGGGTGAGAACGTCAAATGGTGCCCCCGAGGGAGGTGGCCAGCTACATCAAGACCAGCGGGGGTTCTCGTATTGATGTGGTTGCCGGCGTGCAGCACGGAGGTGTGCACATTGAGGCCGGCTGATTGACGCCATCCTGACAGCCCTCTCATCAGACGGCATTACTCGCCGCCAGAGCATTGATTCTGTTGCTCTCTTGCAAAATCGGCCCACCCTCCCTAGATCATCGTGGCAGTGGCCATCGCGGGAGAGCGCCCCGCCCTGCCCGACGACGCACCGCCCCGCATGGCCGACCTCATCCGCCGCTGCTGGCGCGAGGTGGGGCGCCGCGCGGGCATGATCGGTCCATGCCTGCCTGATGGGCTGCTGGCCATGCTGCAGGCGTGTGAAACCTACGCAACACGCACCGCCTGGTGCTGGTCTCAATCAAAGGCCCTCGCTGTTGCCGATCCTGCTCCTGGCCGTCCATCTTCCTCTCAGGACCCCCGGCAGCGACCGACTGTGATGGAGGTGCTGGAAAACCTGGAGTCGCAGATGCAGGTGAGTGCTAACATCCAAAGGCAGCTGCAAGCCCACGTACATGGCCTGGAGGGTCGTCCACCTCTCGTGCTGGACTTGGTGCTGATTGTTTGTGTGTCAAAGGGTGTTGAACACCTCTGACTGACTAGATGCCATCATACCGATCAAGCCAAGTTGCCCGTCTTGCTAACCTTGTTGTTGTTGGCAACTCTCCAAAACGCCAGGACGAGGTGGAGGCCCGCGCGGAGCGCGCCGGCCTGATGCGCCGCCTCTCCCAGCTCAGCAAGGGCGGCAGCAGCAGCAGCAGCAGCCTCGCCGCCGCAGCCGGCGCCGGCGCAATGCCGCGATCTGGCAGCAGCAACGGCCCAGGCGAAGCCGGCCTTGCGACTGTGGGGGCGGAAGAGCCGGCGGCGGGGGCGCATTCAAGCAGCAGGCGGCGTGCCAGGGGCAGTGGCAGCTCAGCTAGCAGGGCCGGCTTGCACCCGCAAAGCTGCGCTTCGGGCGACAGCGACCCCATGGCGTCGTGCGGCGCTGCAGGCCCGGGCTGCTCCGACGCCTGTGATACGAGCATCAGCATCGGCAGCAGCGGCATCGCCGGCGCCCGCATCGGCTCGGGGGGCTCGGCCCAAGGCCGCAGCGGCGGCACGGGGCGCGGCGACAGCCTAGGGGCCGGTGGCGGTGTGGGGGGGCAAGGCAGTGGCATGGGTGGAGGCGGCGGCGCGGGGGGCCGAGGCGGTGATACGGGTGGTGGCAGCGGCGCAAGGGACTGTGGTAGCGGAGCAGGTGGCGGCAGCGGCGTAGGGGGGCGGGGCAGCGGCGGG